TAAAGACCTCCAATCAACTGTTTTCTGCTCTAGGTCTGTCATTCAGGAGATAACCCCTGAGGATATATGTTATCAAATCTTTTTCATCACAGCTTTTCCTACTGCCAGGTCATCCTCTGTAAGCAACTATGATCATTGCATGTCTTCTAGTGCCCACACGTGCATCTGTGGATCACACATCCAGTGCTTAGAGAAGTCCATTGGTGTCATAGGTACCAGGCCTATGGAGATAGGGAAAAGGAGATAATTGCAGCTCTGAGTTCATTAGCATAGCTTGATACTCATTCATAGGAGTTTGCTTTTGACATTTGATATGAGGTAAGAAAGTGAGATGATAGAGTTCTACCTCTATTTTGTTGTGATTAGGTTACAGGTAGGGTGGATGAGTGACTGTTCTCCAGTTATTAGACAGGAAGCTCACTTTGCCTCATCAAATTGTAACCCTCTCTGTATTAATAGGAATCAAGCAAAATATCCCTTCTTGCAGCTTTCTCATTTCCTATCATATAGCTTAGTAAAATGCTTGCACAGACAGTTATTCGTTCACTTGTTTGGCAGTAAACTTGGCAAATACTTCTCAGTATCTTGAAATAAACTCAAAATAATTACTTTAAATGTTGTTTCTTGCTATGGGTCAGTGCTATTGTTTATTGCTTTTTTTTTCCCCCAGAAAATGTCAGCTGTGTTTGATTTGCCAATGATGTCAGATTTCCATGAACTTTATTTTCTATTTCACTCCTTAATTGGGGCAGGTTGGAAAGAAAAACCCCAGTACATACACAATATGCTAACCACCCTCACATCCCAGAGAGTTTTTAGAAGGACAAGCTAATTCCCAGGACTGTGTAGGAATACTAGTCTGCCTCTTCACATTTTTCTAGCAGTGTGGAGGAATTCATTGTCAAGTCAGACCATGATACATTTGAAGGTTGATCTGGTCAGTCATGTGTATCTGCCTCTTTCTCATTTGCTTATTGGCAAGTAGAGCATGTCCCTGGTTCTTTAGACAGACTGAATTTATAAGGATCTTGTCCAAGGATAACCTTCATTCTTTTGACCTTTCACAGTTGCTTGCTTTCCCCATTTTGCATTAACTGCTTTTACACTGAAATTGTCAAATCAGGTTTGGTGACTTTGTCAGCAGCAGTGAGGGTAAGAAACCAGATTTTCCCATGCAAAGGAATTAATGCCCTTTTGTATTAGTAATTCTAAAAATGGATTAAAATGTCTTTGATTTTACTCTCTTGGTTATTGACTTTCTCTAAGTCTCTGATGGTTCATATATAAGGCTGTTTTGATATGAACTCTGTTTTAGTCTTTTGAAGAATTCCAAGCTAAACAGATTAATTTTACCAATATTTTTTAGTGAATAACATGTTTTTTTTAACAGTCTGACAAATAAGATTCATTTGTGCTCAAATGAATGAAAAAACAGTCACCTTTCTTTGGTGGCTGCTGAGTACTATGTTTTCTGTAATTTTCTCACAGAACTGCTGGGACTTTGTAAATAGAAGTCTTGGGAAAATTTTTTAGATCTTCGACTATCTTTGTTTATGACATTGAAGATTTTAAAATGTTAAATGTGATAGATATTGTTTAGTTTTAATAACTCAACTTTTGGGAAGACCTTAAAAAGTGTTTTTAAAATTTTTTAATTATTTATTGTAAAAGAGGATAGATACCTCCTAAAGTTAAATTGATGTGGCACTTGTCCAACCTGAGTCTGAAAGTCAAGTAAAAGGAGTTTGCTAACATAATCTGAACATAACAACTGAACAAAAAATTGAACTCTATAATTTCAAAAGCCTTTTAACAATTTTTAACATAACATTCTTATTTTTTCTTCAAAATAATTTCATAAAATGAGCTAAACAAGTAATAGTAGTATAGTATTCCCATTTGAAAAATAACTTGCTAATGGAGCTCAGTTGGTTAGTAACAGAATTGGTATTCAGGTCTGTCTTTATTGTTTTTGCTTTTCATTCTGACAAAATTTTAAAATGTGTAATAGTAGAACAATTTGGTAAATTCTTATATACTCATTATTTAAATGAGTAAAAGCAATTGTTAGTAATTTGCATTTACTATATTTGCTTCTTTTTTTGCTGTAGATTACAAAGCAAACCCCAGACATTTTGACTCTTACCCCTCATAATTTTACTAAGTATATATCTAAAGTAAGGAAGGGGCTTACCTGGTGACTCAGTGGTAAAGAATCTGCCTGCCAGTGCAGGAGACGTGGGCTTGATCCCTGAATCAGGAAGATCCCCTAGAGAAGGAAATGGTTTCTCCCACTCCAGTATTCTTGTCTGGAGAATCCCCCTGGACAGAGAAGCCTCGTGGGCTACAGTCCATGGGGTCACAAAAGAGTCAGACACAACTTAGCAACTAAACAACAACAAAAGTAAGGAAAAGGAAATTTTCTTAATAACCACAGTACCATTATCACACCCAACAAAATTAGCAGTGATTCTGTAATATTACAATGTTTTTTTCATGTTTTTCTGGTTGTTACCAGAATGACTTTGTTTTAAAAATAATCAGGGTCTCAAAGAAGGTCCCCACAAGGCACTAGTTCTTACATCTCTTAAGTCACTTTTAATCTAAATACCCCTCATCCCATTTTTCTTTTCATGATGTTAACTTGCTTGGGAAGACTAAAAGGCTGGTCTTTAAATTTTAAATTTGATGTTGCTTCTATTATACTAAGCTGCCTCAAATGTAAACTTTAAATGTTAAATAAAGAAATACAATAATAAATAGAAAACAACTCTGTCTAACCTTAAAATTAAAAATAGAATTTTTTTATTTTTAAGAGTTCACAGAACAGTTTACAGTAAGTGAAATGTTGTAGGAATTAATTTCATAAGCAACTTTAAAATCAAAATAAAATCCAAAGTAGTAACTGTATCCTTGTGACTTTTATATCTGTATTAGCATTTTGACTAAATGTAGTTCATAATAGTGAAGATGAGCAAGTAAATAAATTCTGCTGGTTTGGTGGTTTAGTCGCTAAGTCATGCCCAACTCTTGGGATCCCATGAACTGTAGCCCACCAGGCTCCTCTGTCCTTGGGATTCTCCCGGTGAAAATACTGTAGTGGGTTGCCATTTCTTTCTCCAGAGGATCTTCCCGACCCAGGGATTGAACCGTGGTCTCCTGCATCGCAGGCAGATTCTCTACCGACTGAGCTATGAGGAAGTCCTAATAAATTCTAGTGGTTGGAAGTAATATAAGTTTAGTCCAATTTTCCTTTCAGCTGATTAGAGAAGTGCAAATTGTACGTCTACTCTATCACAATTCTGTTGCACATATCAGAAAACTCACAAACATATATTTTGTTGTTTGTAAATACCTTGTTGTCTTTACTGTTCTTACCAAGGAGCAAGTATTAAATACTTCTCATGTACTATCAGTGGTAATAGTATGTTTTTTACATTATTATGTCCCAAACTTGTGTATTTCTTTATGCCTGTATAATCTACCTCAGTATCCAACTGGCAGGCTAGTTAAATACCTAACTTCCAGAAATGCAACAGTGAAGAATAGTGAAGAGGACAGTAAGAAGAGGTGAGATTTGCCTTATCAGAAGGATTGGAGCAGTCACGGAGCAGGGACACACTTCTTTGTTTCCTGTGGCCTGGCTAAGTGGGCAGGGCGATATGCTTGATTGATATTACTTACTGTTCAACCGGAAACTATTACCTTTTTTCCCCACCATTTTTTTCCACTGAGATACAATAAAGTTACTCTGTAAGGATTCATCAGTATTGTTTTGCAAGCCAGCCTTGACAGAAAGACTTTAATTTTTGGTTATTTCCGTCTAACTTTTTCATCTCTATACCTGTGATAACCCTTGTAGGCAGTCTTTCAAAGGAGTACATCAAGAGAAAGATACTGAAATATTTGGGTGCAGTAGCTTCCCTACTTTAAATCTTCGTTGCTGTAACTATATGTTTCTCCCTGTGCACTGGCTGTACAGCCCCTCTTTTGAGACAAAACCTGGGTAAATGGAGACACGTTCTTTCCAGATGCTGAGCTTTCCTGTCTCTGTCTGTTATTCAGTTTTCACCAAAGGATTTAAGGATAAAGTATAGGAATCTGCTGTGTAAAACTAATTCCCTAGCTTTTCCTAATGGTGTGTAGAGTTCTGATTCCCTAAGGCACAGTGTTATTTCCAGAGTTTTCTTCAATTTGCATAACTGGTTTATCTGAGTTCTTTCCTCAGAATAACAGAAATGAAATGAGATGACACTATAAAAGTACTAAAAGTTTCTCAAATTAAAGAGTAAAATTATTTACACATAAATTGATGAAATATTTTGGGCATTTCCAGGCATATAACTACAAGGCACACAAACAGTGCTCAATAAATACTTTCCTAAATATAATAAAGCTGTTTCTGTAATAAAAACATATTTTATGAACAGCATTTAAGTATCTATTAAAGAATAGATTCTTCTGAAATCTGTTGAATAAAGTGTGTTCTCTAATATGCTAGTATAATTAAATTAAAATTAACTGTGTCTCTGTATTTAAAAGTCAGGTACTTCTCTATCCCTTCTAATTACAAGGGAATGACTACAAAATAAATGTAATAGGTAAAAAATACTTGTCCTTCCTGGGAAAGGAGCATTTATATAATAGTATATCACAGCTCATTTCTTAAAATGAATTTTTATCCTATTAATTTTTTCATATATCTATTATTAAGGAAATAGTAATGTGACAGCTACTACTCATCGATCTCATTTGGTAAGAACCTAAGTTTATTTTCATGCTTTACTACCTTACCACATATGCAAGAGCAGGCCTCATTTTAACAGTCTAATCGTGTCACATAATCTTGATGGAAGTAATTCTATCAGAAGTTCAGGAAATTTAAATGGCCTTTTTCATTCATCTTTGGATGGGTCAGTGCTGTTAAGGGCATTGCAATGAGGAGCACAAGGTGATTTTATTTTGAGTTACTGATTCATGCTTCCCTTGTTTTGTTTCAGGTGGATCATCCATGCTATGGAATATGAACTACAAATCCGTGGTGGAAACAAGCCAGCCAGAGACTTATATCAGCTGTCACCTAGTGAAGTAAAACAGCTTCTACTGGATATTCTCCAGCCTCAACAGAATGGAAGGTAATGAAGGTCCTTTGTTACCTACAGTACACTCTGGATTTATAATAACATTTTATACGTGTGTGTGTGTGTGTGTGTGTGTGTGTATGAAATCAGTAAGATGTTAATAAGAAATAAGATGTAGCAAAGTGTCAATACTAGATGGGCAGCATACATAGAGATACTAATTAAAATGTCTGTCTTCAGTTGTAATTTTGCATTGATTTGAATTTTATACTTTTTCCAGGTATACTTTGTAATAATTTTTATTATTCTGTGCAGAATATAGTACTTCATTCTACTTTGGTCAGTTCCCTTTCTGATCTTTGGTAGCACTCACCATCTCCTCCCAACATTTTGGCACACAAGTTTGGGTTTGATAATGTTAGTTAAATTCTTGCTTGTAACTCTGTCTCTTTAAGTAGACTATAATCTTTAGAAAAACTGTCTTAGATGTAACTTGTACCAACTTTAGAATATAAGTAAAGCAAATACTTTGGATTGCTTTGAATTGAAGAGTTATTTTTATTACACAAACAGTTCTAATATAATTACTTAGACAAACAGTTATTGAGTGCTATTTGTGTACCTGGTACTTTCCAAAATGATATAGTTATATGCCTAGAAATACCTAGGAAAGAAGTCTTCTGCAAAAGTAGATGTGAACAGAAAAGCATCCTTTTTCTTAAACAGGAAGACTTGAAAGATGTCTAACAATTCCAATAAAATTCCAACAAGCTGTTTTATGGCGTTAGACCAGTAAATACTAAACTTCCTATGAAAAAACAAGCATGCAAGAATAACCAGAAAAACATAAAGACTTGCTCTAAGAGAGACAGTTAAAATATTTAACAGCCTTTATAATTAAAATCATGTGATGCTGGTAAATGAACAGAAAAAGAAAACTACTGAACAGAATAGAAAGTCCAGAAGTAGACCCCCAGTCACATCTGAAAATTTTGTGTGTGATAGAGGTGACATCTCAAATCATTGGGTCAAGGATGGACTTTTTAAATAACTAGTAATGTGACAACTGGATAACCACCTGGAAAAGATAAAATAATGTCCATACTTTGTACTGTACTTAAGAATAAGTTCCAAACATATTAGTGATTTAAACATTTTAAAAAATGACACTGTGCTAGTGCTAAAGGCTTCCCAGGTGGCTCAAGTGGTAAAGAATCCATCTGCCAATGCCTGTGCCAATGCCAGTGCCAATCTACCTGCCTGTGGAGTGCAGGCAGAGACATGGGTTCAATTCCTGGGTCGGGAAGATGCCCTGGAGGAGAAAATGGTAACCCACTCCAGTATTCTTGCCTGGGAAATCCCACAGACAAAGGAGCCTGGTGGGCTATAGTCCATGGGATCACAAAAAATTGGACATGACTGAGCTGGAAGAAGACATGGGTAAATTCCTCTGTAACCTTGGTATGAGAAAGACTTTCTAACTATGACTCAAACCCAGGGGCAATAAAAGATTAATAAAACTATATAAAAATTAAAAACAGCATTTTTCATAGAAAAAAAAGGCAATGCCAAAAGACAGCTGAGAAACTGGAGCAAGGCATGTGTTACAAAGAGTTAACACTAACTCTTACAAAGTGAGGGGCAAAGCACAAAAATACCTACGTGAAAAAGGGAGGATGATGTGATTGATCGATTAATTTAAAATGTTAAAAGTGGACCTTAAATATTTAGAGAGATGTTCACACTAACTCATAATTAGAGAAACGTAAATTAGAACACATTGAGTTACCCTTTCTCATCTATCAGACTGGCAAAGTTAAAGAGAATGGGGAACATTTGCTGAAGCTGTGGAGAAAACAGATACTCCCATATACAGCTGATGAGTACAATCCTTCTATATGAGAATTTGATAATATCTAAAAAAAAAGTCTACCTGTACACTTACACTTTGACCCAGCAGTCTTAGTCTTATTTTTAAGGACCCACCCTGGAGATTTGCCTCCAACAATGTGAGGATATATGCCCAAGGTTATTCATTGCATCATCATCTATAATTGCAAATTTTGGAATGCCCATGACCTAAGTCCCCATACATGAGGAATTATTTGAATAAATTGTGGTAAATGTCCACACAATGGAGTATTATGAAGTTGTGAAAAAAGAACGAGTGTGGTCTCTATTGATAGGGAATAATCTCTAGGCTGTACTGTTACTTGAGAATAGCAAAGTACAAAAGAGTATAGTACTCTACTCTTCATGTAAGAAAGAAGAGGATGTCTGCTCCTTTTTGCAGAACAAATACAGGAAGGCTAAATCAGAAACTAGTGAAATTGGTTACCTTCAGAGAGGGGGTGGGAACAGGGTGGAAAGAATGAAAAAAACAGATCCAGAGCAGTAGGGTTGAGGGGAGAGCAGTACTTCAAATTTAGACCATTTGAATAGCTCTGACTCTCCAACTTCAGTGATATTTCTAAAACATAAATAATTATTCCCCAAACATAAATCATTAATGAAAATTAATCCATGTGTGGAAGATACCAAAAATATAATACACACAGTAACAATTGACCCTAATCATATTATGAATGAATAATATTACCACACTGAAGGGGGGGGGGAAGACAAGAATTAACCAAATTTCTGGGTATTGCAATGTACCTTTGGAAAACATTGACTAGACACTGGAAATGCTAAACAAAAAAAGAACTGCACACAAATCCTGGACTCTGTAATTTTTTTTGCCCACAGAGGTAGGAATTAGCAGTTCAGGAATTTATACACACATGCATAGTGTTATATATTGGGTTGGCTGAATAGTTCGTTCGAGTTTTTCCATGACATCTTATAGAGAAGCCCATATGAATTTTTTGGTCAACCCAATATATGGTGCATATACATACACACCCTGAGATTAAATAAATAATTCAATATATTGCAGCTAATTTGAGCCAGATTTTTTTCAGTGTTGAAATATATAGTTACAAATAAGGAAAGGAGAATGGCTAGAATATACCCTGTGGTGTTTGATTGGAATTGGAAGTATCACTGTGAATTCACAGTTTTGGGTTTTTTTTTTATTAGTTGGAGGCTAATTACTTTACAATATTGTAATTGTTTTTGCCATACATTGACATGAATCAGCCATGGATTTACATGTGTTCCCCATCCCGATCCCCCCTCCCACCTCCCTCCCCACCCATCCCTCTGGGTCTTCCCAGTGCACCAGCCCTGAGCACTTGTCTCATGCATCCAGCCTGGGCTGGTGATTTGTTTCACCCTTGATAATATACATGTTTCGATGCTGTTCTCTCAAAACATCCCACCCTCACCTTCTCCCACAGAGTCCAAAAGTCTATTCTGTACATCTGTGTCTCTTTTTCTGTTTTGCATGTAGGGTTATCATTACCATCTTTCTAAATTCCAGAAATCAAACAAGACCAATAATAAAAAAAAAAAAAGAAAGAAAATTCTTCTAAAATAATTCCTGCTCTGTGAATATTACACATTTCTACCTTTTATGTTGTTCTAAGCAAACATCTTCCTTTTATAGTCTTAACCATGACTTCACAGAACTCTGAAAACATCTTTTTTTGTTGCTGCCAAACAAAGGAAGTAAGGGGAAGAATCACATGCAAAATATTCAGTTTGCATACCCATTATCCAAAATAAAACATCACAAAGGAACCTTTTTGGCTTTTTTCTTTATCGTAGCACTGAACCCAGTCACACAAATCTGGGCCTACCAAAAGAAGCTATACATCCAAAAGAGATGCCTCCTCACTTGTGTAGTGATGTAACTTCTCTTTCACCAGAACAAAATGTCTTTTTCTGATCACTGTATCCTGCATAATGAGTTTCATACCTAGAAATATCATTGATTGTTACTTGTGGCTGATGATACATTTTACTCTGCTGCCTGTTTTAATACCAAGTATAAAAAAATTATATTTGTTCCTATCTTCAGCTTTTGTAATAATATACTACTATGTCATTTGTTTATTGTTTTCAGATATTGCAAATTCTGTATCTTTAGCAGTTTGTGATTGAAGTAACTATTATATTTTTAAGATTTAAAACAAATTCATTAAAATAATAGATCTAGAATTTTAACTCTTCATTAATTATTATGACGTGTAAGATTTGGTAGCTGATTTTTTAGCACTGGTACTTTGGCTGTATTTAAATAGAAAACTAAATATAAGGTTTAAATTAACATATAAGGTTTAAAATAAGGTAATTTCATTAGATGGGCTTCCCTGGTAGCTCAGTGGTAAAGAATCAACTTGCCAATGCAGACTTGGGTTTGATACCTGGGTCATAAAGATCCCCCAGAGAAGGAAATAGCAACTCACTCCAGTATTCTTACCTGCGAAATCCCATGGACAGAGGAGCCTGACAGGCTAGAGTCCCTGGGGTCCCAAAAGAGTCAGACACAACTTCGTGACTAAACAACAGTTTCATTAGATACATCATGCTTTTTTGAGCACTCACCCATTTATCAGGTGGCTATTAAGCACCTTTCTTGGAGAGGTATATAGGAGTAATCAAACTATAAATACAATGCCCATGTCTTCATGGAACTTACATTTTATTGCACATGAGGACCAAGTGAACTTATTTTGAAATTGACTCTTCCTGTGTTTTTAAATTGAACTGCTTTGCATGTTAGAAACTCATTTGATCACATAGTGAATTGTAAGAAACTTACTAGAGAACAACATTTTGCCTGTTAAATTTTTTAAAATCTTAGGGATTTTCTCCTTTCCTGCAAGTTCTGTTTTCACAATGAAATATTTAATAACCTCTATAACACATGGTAGATATGCATCATTGATGGATTTTGGCTTTTATTGCTCACTCTGTTGGAACAATTAATCCATATAAAAGCACTGCTTTTTGCCAGAACAAGCTTGTTTTTCAACACTGAGGCATTTTCTTGTGGTCTACAGATGTTGGCTGAACAGGCGTCAGATCGACGGCTCTTTGAACAGAACCCCACCTGGGTTCTATGACAGAGTGTGGCAGATCCTGGAGCGCACGCCTGATGGGATCGTTGTGGCCGGGAGGCATTTGCCCCAGGTACAGCCCCACTGTGTCTGTGTCCGTAAAAGGGACTTCTAAGGAGACCTAAAGGGAAAAGAAGACAGCTGAGGGTGAGATGGTCAGACAGCATCACAGACTCAATGGACGTGAATCTGAGCAAACTCCAGGAAACAGTGAAGGACAGGGAAGCCTGATGTGCTACTCTTCATGGGGTCGCAAAGAGTCGGACAGGACTTAGTGACTGAGCAACTACAAAGGAGCAGAGAGTTCTTTCCTTCTCTGCTTTGCAAATGACCTTTCTACTTATTTCATTTTCTAAGAATATTAAGATACTTGAAAGGAGAAAATAATAAGCCTGATCAAGTGGATTAGAAATAATAGCAATGATGGTAGAAATACCACCAAGTGCAATAGGCCAGTGGCAGGGAAACTCACAAACAGGAAAACATATGTTCAAAAGCCAAATCAGTCTTAAGAAACAAGGTGGCTTAGTAATGCTGTGGCTAGAAATTACTAATTAAGAGTTGGATTGAACATGAAAAGTAAAGTAACTTTTAGGTCATTAGACAATCACTGATCTGAATGAATCAGTATTTCCTTTTCAAATGGTTTTCCAGGTTCTATCAACTGGCCAGCCTCTTTAATTCTTTAATTTAATTCTGACACCTAAATCATTCTGCTTATGCACAAATGTGAATAATTAGGCCTTCTAGAAATGGAGTACTATATCTGTTTATTGTGTTGAAACATCATCTTTGTGATAAAGGTCTTTATCAAAGTATTCTTTTTTGATTGAAGTATAGCTGATATACAATGTGAGTTTCAGGTATACAACAGTGATTCAATATTTCTATAGATTATATTCCATTTAAAGTTATTATAAAATATCAACTATATTCCCTGCACTGTAGCATATTTATTTATTTTATACATAGTTTGTGCCTCTTAGTCTCCCACACCTATCTTGCCCCTCTACTCTTCCCTCACCCCACTGGTAACTACTAGTTTGATCTCTGTATCTGTGAAAATAAAATACTCTTAAAACACACACCTATACTCATTTTGTTGATATGTACATAGGGTATTTCTGAAAGAACCCACAAGAAATCGATAGCATTCTTTTCTTTGCCTTTGGGGAAAGGGACTGTGGTCTATGGTACAGTTTGGGCTTTTCACTGATAATCCTTTTTAACCTTTCAGGTTTTTGAACTTTGTGAATCTACTGTTTTTTTCAAAAAATGAATAAGAACTTTTTAAAAGTACTTTTTATGCTGTTCACAGACTGTTGATTGGTTTTTGTTGGTTGTCAGTATAGGTGCTCCAGTCCTTTCCAGGGTGCTGTCTGTGACCATTGTATGGAGCGCCTCTGTCTCCTGTGGGCAGGGAACCCACTTCAACTGTTTGTGTCCTGCTTCTTCTAGTAGGCCTTGTGTCTGAGTGCAGTGGACTGTTGCAACTTTCTGTTGCTTCTTTCCCAGCCTCCACTAATACCTACCAGACTTTCTTTTAATTATCTGATCGCCTGGGCATATTCTCTCCTTGCTGACAATGTGTTAAGTATTTTTAAGTGCCAGGCACTTTTCTAAGTTATCCTTTAATCCTTAGAACCGTCTATTGTGGTAGGTACTGTATTACTGCCATTTGACAGATGAGGAGACTGAAACACAGCTCAGTGGTTTTCCCAAAGTCATACATCTAGGAAGCACCTGACCTAGTGTGACCCCCTTCCCAGCAGTTTGGCTTCTGAGCCTTTTCTCTTAACTTCTCTGCTATACTTTCCACTTGTTTCAGAGACTGGAAAATAAGGTAGCCTGATAGCTCTTCTCTAGATTTAATTATCATATTGCATACTAGCCATGCTGACTTTTCAAATGAGATATATTAAAAGAACATTGATGTGAACCCATGAAAAGATCTTCCTTTCCTTCTGTAACCCCATTCATCTCATTGCTAGACATCTAAACAGTTATAATTGCAGGCATATCTCAAATAGTGCAAGTTTGGTTCCAGATGATCACAGTAAAGCAAATTACATAATTTTTTCTGGTTATTCAGTTCATATTAAAGTTATGTATACACTATACTGTAGTCTGCTAGGCATGCAATAGCATTATATCTAAGAAAACAATGTATACCTTAATTTAAAAGTACTTTATTGCTAAAAATTGGTAACCATCATCTAAAAACACGGGGCTACCAGAAACTTTCAATTTGTAAAATGAACAACAACAAAAAAATCTACGAAGTGCAGTAGAGTGAGCCATAATAAATCAAGGTATGCCTGCACCAGCTTCATTTTTCCCTAAGTTAGGTACCACCTGTAATCATTGACAGTATGTTGGATTATATTGAATACAAAATACAATAGGTGGACCATATTGAATATAGGACTGAAGCATTCTTACACCAAGCAAAATAATATTGCTGTCACTTAATTGAAAGGAGACAATGGGCTCAGTCCCATTTTGAATAGTAAGTAGATACACATGTTCTAGGGTATGAGTAAATTCACTGTAGATCATGCTCTACATGAGGTAAAGGCAAATAAGTATGACTCATCATCTCTTCATCATTATTTTTTTTTCTTCATCATTATTAACCAGGTAATAATTCTGGTTACTCCATCTGCTTTCTGTCATTCAAGCCTAACATTTAGAGCCTTTCCTTCCATCCTTTGAAGGTTATCCACCATGCCAAGATTTGTTGTTTGTTTGAGTTTATTTTCTGCTTTCATTTGGTTTGTGGAAAGTTTATGGAAGATTTTACAATACTCTTGTTTTAAATGAAATATAAAGAGTAGATTAGAGAAAATTTTTTGTTTTGCTTTTTTCTGTGTTTGCTTACCATTTCTTCACATGATATTGTTTCACTTATTTGTATGCATTTTTATGCTGCCAGCTCAGAAGGACCTGCCACAGAAATGATGTTAATTCAGTAGCAAGTGACTTAGATGCTGAAGTATGATAGCAAGCATAACTTGTTGTGTTAATTCTGAAAGCAATATGTATTCTTATGTGTTGTTCAATTTTGGACCATTCTTTTTGTGTATTGAAGTAGTTTTCTAATACAGTCTCTTTTCCCTCAATACATTAATATAGGAAAGATAGCTATTAAAACAGGAGGTTTAATTTATCACAAGAGTCAGCTGGTTAGCTTAAGTAGTTTGACATATATAAAATCCAGTCATATAGCTGAAAATGCTCTCTAAGGTTTTGTAGAAGCTGAAAAAGATACTAGCGAATGAAATTTTCCTGTTAAGTGGGAACCAGAGTGTGACAATGCAGCATTTTAATGTTGAGTTATTTTTTTCAGCAACCAACCCTGTCAGATATGACCATGTATGAGATGAATTTCTCTCTCCTTGTTGAAGACATGTTGGGAAATATTGACCAGCCAAAATACAGACAGATTGTCGTGGAGGTTTGTATTTAACAATGTAGATTGCTAAAGAAGTGCTTTCTATCTGCTCCCTGAAAACCAGTATATAGGAAACTGCTTAAGAGGCCAGGAATTCACTCCTCACCTAACCCAGATCTCCAGTTGAGTCCTGGAGGAGATGGCCATCCTTGACCCTTGAGTTGAGGCACATGAACAATTCAAACATCTTAAACCCATCAGGGTAGAAAGGCCAACTTTCTCAGCTACACACTCACCCCCACAGTAAGTGCGTCAACAGTACCATAAAAGAGAGGACATGACATTTTTCTGTTTGTCTTATTTTCATTTTTTCCTGTTTACCGAAATGACTCATGATTATTGTAGAAAGTTCAATAGTTGAGAAAATTATAGAAAAGAAAACCAAAATATATCTCTGTATCCACTAGCTATAGATCATCACTATTATTTTGAGGGACACCTTTCCAGACATCTCTGTGAACAGAGAAAGTGTGTAATTTTGTATATCATCATTGCTGCATATAAAGTTAAATGCTAAAATACACACACCTGTGCATGCACATGTACACATACTTTTTTGCCATTTTAAAGTATTACATCAAATACATAGAGATTCCCTTGAATGGATATAATGTATAGCTCATCCTCACGTTGTTTCTCTGAGAATGTCTCCATCAGAATCTGTGTTTCTTGAGGGTGGATAATATGTCCTATTGATACAGAAGCTCTCAGTGAGTGCTGAACTGGATGTGGCACCTCCTAAAATCCAACGTGTCTGGAGCTACGGTCAGCTGAGTGAGATTCAGCCTCATCTATGATAAGCCAGAATTTGGGTTAGAGTATCAGCCAATCAGTTTCATAGCTTGTGGGAATGAGACAGAGACTGGGGTCAAGGAAAGATGGGATTTTTAGAAGAGTGATTGCCTTCTTTGTACTGTTAACCTTTTGGTATCTCACGCCTATAGATGCCCCTAACATGTGGTCATTCTCTTTGCAGAAGAAATTTACCTTTAGAACTTGAGCAAAACCAAATTCTTTTGGATAAAGCTCTGCCCCAAAGTCTCCCACATTGTGACTCCTGGATTTTTTCTTAGTGTTTCCTTTGGTTCTTTCAGGTACTAATTGGGAAACATTTCAATAAAGTATATCAGAAAGATTACCAAGTTGGAAATTATGTCTTTATCCTGTTCCATGTACAAACTAGGAGCCATAATCATCATCAGAAAGTCTTTACCAAGCATTATGTACTCAGATACAATTTTGCATATTACAGTTTGTCATATAAAATGAACATTACTACTTAGGATAAATGTATAGGGTAGCCAAACAATAGGATGATGCCTTAAACTAAGATAGCTTATACAAACCAAATAGTGCTCATGTCATAAAGAATCACAGTTAAGTTTACTGTTTAAAACATAACTATCCCCTGAGAAATACTATGATGTCAGAGAATTATACTCATTTTGGCATGCTAGACTTCAAGTCATTTGATGGTGAGCCTAGATCCAAATTCTGCACTGTACTCATCTGCCTTGCTTTCTGAGGCAGCTTCTGCACCACTGGACCCTGTTTTGGTACACCAAACAGTGGCTTGCCTGCCACCAAGCATGAAGGTCTAAAGACTAGAGAGAGTTCAGACACTTTGGATACTATAGGGCACTGTGTACTGTTGACAGAAAAGTCATTTTTCTAAGTTATCAATTTTATTTAAGTGACTGAGAAACATTTCCATATAGCTACAGGGATACAGACAATGAAAAAAAAAATGAGATTTCCAAACAGAACTCATGCTATTAATTTTCGCAGTTAGGAAGATTCCATCCATAGATGATCCTAACACCTATCATTGTACAGAACAGGCTGTGGAATACAAGGACCATCCATCAGTCTGAGCAAAGAATGAAAACATATGCAGACTATGTCGCTTTTATGGTTCATATAATTGGCTTTCGATGTCTGTCTCTTCTAGTTACTAATGGTCGTATCCATTGTACTGGAAAGGAACCCTGAGCTAGAATTTCAAGACAAAGTAGATCTTGACAAACTGGTGAAAGAAGCATTTCATGAATTTCAAAAAGATGAGAGTCGACTAAAAGAAGTTGAAAAACAAGTAAGTAGAGAAAATAGCTTTTTGTAGAATTTTTTTCTCAATTCTTCAAAGTATCCCTAAATCCCTTATCATTTAACTTACAAAACAGATATACAGAGTATGAAACAAGAGGAAGTCTGATTTATTTGAGGAATTAATGTTACTTTTTAGGCAATTATTAGTCATTTCCGCTAAGAAGTTCTGACTAGAAAGATCTAAGAGATAAATTTCCGTTATGTAGTTAGCAGTTAAAATGTGTTTTACCAGAAAGCAGCCATGGATTCCAGAAGGCTATAAAATTAAATTCTTGGAGGATGGGAATGAGTAACAGGCTACATTGGTGCTGTGTACTACCTAATATAGCTCCTTCCAGGCTGTCTGTTTAATATTTTATTATCGTCCATAAAAGAGGTTCCCTAAGTAAATAAAAATCATCAGCAAAAAGGAGAATACTGAAAATGTCTGTCTTTGTTTTATATGCTGAGAAGATGCCTCAGGAAAATAAAAGAAAAACTCAAGAAGCTCATATTTTCCACAAGGAAATCTTCCTGTGAATTTATTTTTCCCTCTCGGCTGACACTGATTATACCTGTCAACTCTTTACAAACAAGAACTCAGATGACTCACTATTTTCCTTTGTAGGATGATATGACTTCCTTTTACAACACTCCCCCCCTGGGAAAAAGAGGAACATGCAGCTATTTGACGAAGGTTGTAATGAATCGGCTGCTGGAAGGAGAAGTCAAGCCAAGCAATGATGACCCGTGTCTGGTTAGCTAGTGAGGAAGGTGGTAGAGACTTTGTTAAAACAGGTTTTCCAGCAGTGTGTTGTTTGTGTTGAAGCTTAATCAAGGCAGCCATTAATGTGTGGGCTGACCATGCTGGTGAATTGGTCGCCACACCCTTGGTGGAATTATTGGAATTCTTGCATGCCATAACCAATCTAATGGTAAGAAATGCTTGTAATCAAGTGAAAATAAGTTCTCATGATTATGCCAGCTACAGTAATAATCTACTGAGCAGTAGTAATAGTTTATTAATTGAAAGTTTACCACTGCATGTTTTCTGATTACATAACTCTTCAAATGGAGCCTTTGCGCATTTTGGATTAAATTCCCACCTTACTGCCAATTAAATGAATTTTCCAACTAATAATGCATACCGGGAATGAAAGTATATTGAAAAAATGGTGAATTCTTTTTAAGTAACATGCTTCTAGAACAAGATATTAATATGCATCATAAAAGCAAAATCAACCAGCTGGTACTTTGATTCTCAAACTGCATTATTGGTAATATTTTAGAATACAGAGCTATTGTACAATTTTTACCTTGTAAACATTATTATGGTTTTGTATTTGTGCTAACTGTAGGGGTTGGGCTAAAGTAATAACTCTATACCTTATAAAAATATTTTCTTTGCACCCTTAGTAAAGATAAATATGGATTGTTAACCTAGTTTGTACTCTTATAAACAAAATTAAAAATCATTAAATTTTATTTCTGAATGAATGAATATATCTCAATACATTCTTTGTTCTCATTATTCACAGTATTGAATTTATTACTCCTGAATATTTTCATTTGATTGGGAGATGAAAGAGAATCTGTGGTACCTACCATTACACATATTTTGTTACCAAATTTACTTAAGCTAATGTTAATAAAAATATAAAGTATGTTAAACATTTAAATTTCAATTAAGTTTCATTTAAATTTTAATTAAGTTTATTTCCTTACTAAATGTTACAATGAAGCCCATTAATTTGAGCCCTGACCCCAAAGGGAGTCATTTTTCTCACTAGTCTTATGGGAATTTCACCTGAAAAGTCAAACTTGTCACGAAAAATGCAGCCCATTTATAAAATCTTGAAAGGATCTAAGACAGAAAGGACAAGTAGCTTCTTGTCACGAAAAATGCAGCCCATTTATAAAATCTTGAAAGGATCTAAGACAGAAAGGACAAGTAGCTTAAGTGACAAGTCAGATTGATATCAAATAAATGGATGCAGGAGCACATGAAAAAATCTGGAATCAGGCACCTTCCTCATAACTTTGAGGTACACTTGCAAAGAGTGTGCTGATTGGCAAACCTGAGAAAAATGAGGTAAAATCTGACCTTATAGAACTTTTTTGTTTTGAGAAATCAGGGAGAAAAATATTTTCAGAATCTTTTATGTGTTAAGTGATTCACATGAATTATACTATCAAATTTGTATACTGATCATATGAAACAGAAATTGTTATCCTAGTTTTACAGTTAAGAATACTAAGGTCCAAGGGCTTCCCTGGTGGTCCAGTGGTTAAGAATCCGCCTGCAGTGCAGAAGACAGGGGTTTGATCCCTGGCTGGAAAACTAAGATCCCTGTGCACCACAACTCCAGAGCCCACGTGCTGCCACCACTGAGCCCACGGGCCACAGCTGGAGAGTCCGCGTGCCATAGCAGAAGATCCCGCCTGACGCAATGGAGAGCCTGTGTGCCACAGCTGAGATCCCATGCAGCTAAATAAATGAATAGTAAGAAATAAATTATACCGTCCAGATTATGTAATAAAGTCCTCCACTTTTATGGTATGAAAAGAATTGAGATTTGTGTCTACAGTACAGAATCTATGTACTTTTAACTAATATTATGGAATCTATGTACATTTCATTAATCTACTACACACTATGATTTTTCTTCTCTTTAATGGGACTGTAATGTTAGAATGCCACATTTCCAGGTAAAATTCACAAGAGAGAAGCCAGCAATAGTTGATTCAGACTATGGGAAGTGACCCAGTTTAGGAGGAGTTCTCCTAGGTTCTTCAAGAATTCTGGCTTTACGCTATCTTTTCTGATTGCACTTCTCTGATTCCAAACCAATCACTGGTTTCTGTCCAGAACCATCATCTTACTGGATTACAAACCACTTCTGCAAGTTATAAATACTGTAAGTGCTCATTGCTCAAAGAGAATTCCTCACTAGTCATTCGAATTATTTTTAATTGATTCAGAGAAATTGATGAAATAAAGAACATGAATCTGGCTCTGAAGAAAATTCTACTAGTAACATAATAGGAAATAAAAGTGATATCATTAAAATAAGTGTTTTATCTCCAATGGTCAATCATTTAAAAGAGGTAGAACAACTTATATTTGGCAGTGTGGATGTATTTGAATACTAGACAGACTGTAAGGTCACCCCTCAGTGTCCACAGCAAATTAGTTCTAGGACCCTCATGGATACCCAAATCCATGGATACTCAAGTTCCTTATATAAAATAGCATGACCTGCATCAGTTCAGTCACTCAGTAGCGTCCGACTCTGCGACCCCATGGATCACAGCACGCCAGGTCTCCCTGTCCCATCACCAACTCCCAGAGTTTACTCAGACTCGTATCCATCGAGTCGGTGATGCCATCCAGCCATCTCATCCTCTGTCATCCCCTTCTCCTCCTGCCCCCAATCCCTCCCAGCATCAGGGTCTTTTCCAATGAGTAAACTCTTCGCATGAGGTGACCAAGTATTGGAGTTTCAGCTTCAGCATCAGTCCTTCCAATGAACACCCAGGACTGATCTTTAGGATGGACTGGTTGGATCTCCTTGCAGTTCAAGGGACTTTCAAGAGTCTTCTCCAACACCACAGTTCAAAAGCATCAATTTTTTGGTGCTCAACGTTCTTCACAGTCCAACTCTCACATCCATACATGACCACTGGAAAAACCATAGCCTTGACTAGATGGACCTTTGTTGGCAAAGTAATGTCTCTGCTTTTTAATATGCTATCTAGGTTGGTCATAACTTTCCTTCCAAGGAGTAAGCGTCTTTTAATTTCATGGCTGCAATCACCATCTGCAGTGACTTTGGAGCCCCAAAAAATAAAGTCGGACACTGCTTCCACTGTTTCCCTATCTATTTCCCATGAGGTAATGGGACCAGATGTCATGATCTTAGTTTTCTGAATGTTGAGCTTTAACCCAACTTTTTCACTCTCCTCTTTCACTTTCATCAAGAGCTTTTTAGTTCTTCTTCACTTTCTGCCATAAGGGTGGTATCATCTGCATATCTGAGGTTATTGATATTTCTCCCGGCAATCTTGATTCTAGCTTGTGTTTCTTCCAGCCCAGCGTTTCTCATGATGTACTCTGCATATAAGTTAAATAAGCATGGTGACAATATACAGTCTTGACGTACTCCTTTTCCTATTTGGAACCAGTCTGTTGTTCCCTGTCCAGTTCTAACTGTTGCTTCCTGACCTTTATATAGGTTTCTCAAAAGGTGGGTCAGGTGGTCTGGTATTCCCATCTCTTTCAGAATTTCTCACAGTTTATTGTGATCCACACAGTCAAAGGCTTTGGCATAGTCAATAAAGCAGAAATAGATGTTTTTCTGGAACTCTCTTGCTTTTTCGATGATCCAGTGGCTGTTGGCAATTTGATCTCTGGTTCCTCTGCCTTTTCTAAAACCAGCTTGAACAACTGGAAGTTCACGGTTCACAAATTACTGAAGCCTGGCTTGGAGAATTTTGAGCATTACTTTACTAGCGTGTGAAATTAGTGCAATTGTGTGGTAGTTTGAGCAATCTTTGGCATTGCCTTTCTCTAAGATTGGAATGAAAACTGACCTTTTTCAGTCCTGTGGCCACTGCTGAGTTTTCCAAATTTGCTGGCATATTGAGTGCAGCACTTTCACAGCATCCTGCATACATCCTCCTATATACTTTAAATTACCTTTAGATTATTTCAAATTCCTAATACAAGGTAAATGCTATGTAAATAGTTGTCAATATGCTGCAAATTCAAGTTTTGCTTTTTGGAACTCCGGAATTTTTTTTCTATTTTCAATCCATAGTTAGTTGAAACTGTGGATGTGGAACACAGCTAACTGTATATACATGCACACACATGCAAGAACTATATCACATTATATTTTTTGTGAACTCTAAGTTTGCTATATCTTTTTTGAGTGACAAAAAAGCTTGTTCTATTATTATATATTTGATTCTCTTTTTCCTTAACATAAAAAATGGAGTTAATGGTGCTTTATTATTTACTTTGAAGAAGTACTAAAGATTAATTAGATTTGCATCAAGTAATCTGAACTCCTTGAAAAAACAGGAATAACAATACTTCAGTGGGGAAAATAACATGCATATAACATACATATATTAAATATATATAGATTCCATTCCTTTTTATATGTGTATGTATATTGAATTTATATTTATGCATATGTATGTAATTTTTTCTTGAAAAACACATGCATATATAGATTTGCCCTTTTTTGTTTGCTTATTTACTGTAGTGAAAATACTTCAGGGAACTCCTTTGTGAGTTTTGCAGCTCTTTGAGAAACTATCCAGTTAAAATGTTTGGAATGTGTGTTAAGAAAAAGAAATGACTTGACATTTTCTTGAGAAGAAAAAATAATTTCACCATACACAAAATGGCTTAGAGTAATATAGATGCTTTTCACTGTATTCTTTTCTTTTCTCCTTACTCCCACCCCCTTCCCATACAAATGCAGAAAACAGGTAACATGTGAGCATGGGCATTACTTAAAATATGACTTATATTTCAATGTAAGTTTTATTGTAATATTATGGTTAAAGAGGAAAGTGACTTGAATTGAAATTGATAATTTACTTACATCCGGCTTTTAGGTTTGTGCATCCATAAAAAACCATATACTGCTTCTTTTTTCTTCTTTTTTTTTTTTTTGGTTGTTGTTGTTGCTCAGTAATATATCATATTTATTTTTTTTCTTTTTACCTTTTGACCCCTTTTACCTCCCCAGC